GTCAGGCAGTTTGGGCCATGGGCAGCACCCACTGGCCACGGTTCGCCGCTCCAGGCCAATGGGGGCTCTGGGAAGTGGCGCGGGATGAGGGATGTGCTGGCTGCCGCTTCCTGCTGCCCCCATTGGCCTGGAGCGGCGAACCGTGGCCAGTGGGAGCTGCCATTGGCCAAACCTGCTGACGCGGCAGGTAAGCAAACTGGCCCAGCCCGCCAGGGTGCTTACACTGGCGAGCTGAGTGCCAAAGGTTGCTGATCCCTGCTTTACTAGTTTTCTTAACGTTTCTGAATTCACTGCCTCATTAAAATTGGGAAGCAGGCATGGTACTTTCTAAATTAGGTCCTAGATGGGGAATTTTCTTAAGCGCCACACTCTATCAGTCATTGGTTTTAGGGTGTAACCTGATTTATGTGTTCCCAATTAATAGTGTAAAGATAAGGAACAGAACCAAACAGAACTCTTTAAGGTTTGAATCTCTGGGGTGGTTCCAGATAATTTAAGTTAGTTATTTAAGACTGTGAATGACACGAGTGATAGAATTAAAGACTCTTTTAAAATAAAATAATTAGTTTAAAGCAAACAGACATTACAATATAACCATACACAGCATTCCGAGATGAAATGGTGCATCCAGGGTTGATCAGAGCATGGATGAGAAGAATGAGTATATAATCCTTTTTCTAATGGCACCTCTACGGGGGAGGAGCATGCAAAGCTAAAATTAGTGTACTATCCTTTTTATAGTCAATTATAATAATACTCCTAATTAGTTAAGCCTACCTTTTACCATATCTATATTTCTGCTCTCCTATTTAATCTTCCGTATCCCAAAACCCAAATATCTTCTTCTTCTTCTTTATTGGCTATTAATATTGAACATAATTCTAGCTATAATTTGTGTCAATGCAAATTTTGTGGTTACCAGTATTCTAATACATCCAAAAATTCCCCTACAACACTTAGAACCAAAACATGTTTACAACATGACCTGGGTTTATGTCCTAACTTATCTCTAGCTTGCCACTCACTTCATTTTACTTAATTCACTAGGCCTTATTATTATCAAGCCCAAATTTAGGCCCTACTTACATTTCAGCCCATTTCTATTTAACAAAAGCAAGCACCATCCCTATAGGCTACACGGGCTTTTCACAACAAGGCATTTTTAAAGATTGTTGTCTATACTGGATTGTCTAATACAGAGAGAGCGCATGGGTTCCAGTGAAGGTACGTGGCATTTCAGTTAAGTAGTAACAGCAGTTGGATGACTAGGCAGTCTGTGCACTTCTGTTCAAACTTGGTTCTTGTTGCTCTAGCTATTTCTTTGGATACTTTGGGAGTAGCACTGGCTGTCCCTTCAGCTGAATAAGGCCTAATGCATATCCTTCCAGAGTCAGTCAGTATAATGGGTATGAGTGAAGTAAAAATGTTATTTTTTAAATTGTTACAATAGTATCAGTCACAGTATTCCATATTGTGTTGTTCATCCTTCATCACCTTTGAAAACTGGCATCAGAATCTGGCAAGCATGAAGAAAATGAAATTACTCCTGATGCAGGTGTACACATAGGTGTCCTATAACAGGGAGTACCGCCCTGTAAGGAAGTGTCCAAGGCCTCGCACTGCTGTTACTGTCTGTGCCTGAGGTCTGACCCATTCTCTGGGTTGTAATTCCCAGAGGGGCTGATGGGAATTGTAGTAGTGAGTGGTAAGGCCTACTGGGAAGTGGGATACAAGGTGCAGTCATAGTGGTGGTACTCCCAACTGAGAGGGAATAGGAGGAGGAGGAGGATGGAGAGAAGACCTAAGAGGGCAACAGGCAAGCAAGTATAGGAAATAGCAATGGATGGGGACTGGGAAGAGTGAAGCAGGCAACTCTGAAGCTGTAGTTGATGGACAAAGATGTTCAAAGGGATGGAATGCAAGCCATATGAACAAAGACTGAAGGAGCTGCGTATGTTTAGTTTAGAAAAGAGGAGATTAAGGAGGGACATGATACTTGAAAGGCTGCCATAAAAAGACCAAGAAAAGTTGTTCTCTCTTGCCACAGAGGGCAGGACAAGAGGCAGTGGGTTCAAACTAAAGCACAGCAGATTTAGATTAAATCTCAGGAAAAACTTCCTAACTGTAACAACAGTAGGACAATGGAACAGACTGCCTAGGGAGGTTGTGGAAACTCGTTCACTGAAGGTTTTCAAAAGGAGGCTGGATAGCCATGTGTCTTGAATGGTTTAGACACAAGAAAGCCTTCATCTTGGCAGGGGGTTAGACTAGATGACCCTTGTCGTCCCTTCTAACCCTATGGTTCTATGATTACTAATTGTTTAGGGACTCAGAGCTAGAATTGTGGTAGAGGTTGGGTATGGCAGGCTCACATATGCCTCAGTAGTGCCACCCTGAGGTAGTGTGCTGATACATCTGTTTTGAGTGGTTAATCCCCCCCCACCAATGGGGGAAGGACTATTTGTGGACCTTGCAACCAAGGCATAAAGTCTAAATTAAGCTGCCTAGTCACCAAGAGGAAAACCACTACCCAATGAGAAAACTGAGGCATAGTTGCATCCTGACAGCAAGGGTTAAGGGGCCCTACTACACACCCATTCTTTGGTAATGAGCAGTTCCATGGGAATGGGAAATATCTGAATGGGAGCTGTGTGTAACTTTCATTTCTGGGGCAGGGGGAATACACATGAGAACATGCAAAACTACACCCTAGCCAGGAGAGCCTGGAGATCAGTATTCCTAAAATGTTTCAAAAGGGGCAAAATATGAGTGTCCAGCAATCATTCCCACTGCTGGTGCTTTGATAACATTGTGTTGAGGACATCTTTTCAGGTTGTGTGTATGAATGCACCGCCTGTCATAATTCCTCTCTCTGATCCCCCAATATTAAAATATGTCTCTCTTCACTCATCACGGTCATTAAACAACATCCCACATCATATGATAACTGAAATTGAAAGAAGAAAATTAGATCTTAAAGAAATATATCTGTTGTTATTTCTTATTGGTAATGCAGTAGTATGCAAAAGTTCCAACCCGCTTGGAGACCCCTTGTGCTGGGCACTGTGCAAACATCTAATGAGAAACAGTTGCTGCCCCAAAGTATTCAATATCTGAGGGTCTGAAACAGGTGAGGGGAGAGAGAGCAAGCTATAACATACAAGGGTGATGATAGGCACTCATCTTTTTAGTGCCAGTAAAGAATATAAATAAATACTCATCAACTATGCCTGAGAGCAGTTGAACCTATTTGTTATCAGCTGGCTAATTTCTTGTATGTATCCCAAGGAAGGTTATGAAAGAGAAGGTGGTGGCCTTACAGACTAATTTAGGAATGGCTTTCTATGCCTAAGGGATAGAATGGAAAACAGCACAGAGATGGTTGTGGGAGAAGAGGCCAAGTGGGAAGATAAAACCAGCCTTATTAGTGAAACAGAGTCATGACTCAATAAGAAACCAGCATAGATATGGACAGGCAGAGCTGTGAAGGTGAAGGTAAGAAGCTTGACCTGTATATGATGGAAAGAGGGAGTCAATGGAAGAATTCAAAGAGGGGTTGAAATAACCAGAATAATGGGAAAGAAGAAATTAACAGATGAGGATGTCAGAGAGAGCAGAGAGGAGGAAATGATAAAGACCTGGATAGTAGTTCAAACTGGTAGATTCTGCTGTAGGATTGGGGCACTCGGATGGATTTAAAACGGCTGCCTAGAGGGGAAAGTCATATATCTTTACAGGTTTGGTGAGCCCTCCAGATACTATATATAAATGTATAGTAGTAGCTTCTGGAGAATATGTACAGAGGAAACTACTGTACTTTCATATCAGTATAATAAAAACTAAATTAAATGCAATAGAACAAAGTATATCATATCCAAGATGTATTTCCATATATAGAATTTTACAAAGTCAGAGATTTAGAAGGTTTATTTTATAAGTTGCCAGTAGGTGAAATGTGAAACACTTATAAAGGAAACACCTGTGTTGAATAAAAACAGTAACATACCAGGCATAGCATGGGTGGTAATAAAAATATTTAAGTTTCTCTGTAAAAACATACAAAAAAGTTTTTTACCAAAATTATTTCATTTTTAAAATTTAGGTCCACATTCACTGAAAATATATCATAGTCACATTGCTGATGACAACCTTGCTGTTATTAAAAAGTGCTTACAGTTTTCTTTTGGATTCTTAGCTTGGGTGAAAGTTTTTATTGTACTTCTGTGTCAGACTTTAATGTAGTAAGGGTATTATTTATCTCCAAATGTATTCAGCTCCTCCTCTTTGGGCAGACTTAAGTTTAACAGGGTCTTTAATTACATTTCCCCCACTAGCTGACCACTATAAAAATTAATTCCTCACCACAAATCTGTAAAAATGTTTCCACTGCAATGGGAGACAAAAATAGAATAATTCCACATCTTTTTGGATGGATGCCTAGCTGAAACTATGCAGCATTTGACTGACAAGAGGATGTAGTCTTTGCTGAGAGCAATTTTTTTAACGTCCTCTTAGTCTTTAGCAGTATTTAAGTAGATGAATGGAGGGAGTGAGAGAGAGAGGATTTACACTAGTTTGCAGTAGTTTGGTTATTTTTGCCTGTTTCTTCTGCAACTTTTGTTTTCTGGGAAAAAAAAAACCAAAAAACCCTCTGCCGTTCATCCGATTTACTGAATATACTATCTCAAATTGGTGAGTTAACTTTTTTGGCTTTGATTTGAAGTATTGAAGTAGCACTTTCTACTCTTTTTGTGTACAATTTTAGTAGGGAAATAAAACTCTACTGTTTGCCTAGGCAGTCTTAGAATTGTTTTAGTGTTCGCCCTATAACTATAATGTGTAGTCTTTCACTGTTTAGAAAAATAAAGTTAATACATAGCTGAGTTTAAATATACAGTACATAAACTTCTTATGAAAACTTCAGTTACAGTACATCAGATTCCTCCCTTCAGTGCTGTACAGTGGATTATCAGTTTCCCACTAAGTTTTGTGGGACCATAAGAAGCAAAACAGATAAATGGCAATTTAAGTGAAACAAACAGAAATTTGTATTGGTTTGTATCCACTTGATGAAAACTAAAGTAAACAATTATTGTGCCATGACAGTATTTGTTGATAGCCTTCTGAGTTGTCTGGACTACATTAATTGCTGTTGGGGATTTAATAGCAATCAGTATGTTAAATGTAATGCTATTGAAAAATAGAATTTAGTTAATGTAACTGTTTCTTTCTATCAGAGAAACTTGCACTACATTAAGCACCAGAATTTTAATAAGCTCTAAGTATAAATTAGAAAAGTAGATATTTACTAGTGAATCACTCCATAAGATTTCTTCTTTCTCCTTTGCACAAGATTTGTATTCCTACATTTGTATCTTATTCATCATATGTGTATATATCATCAGTTTATAATATATTGTGAGTCAGAGCCTCAACTTGTGTACAGTGTCATATCTCTGAAGTCAATACTCGCTGAGGATCAGGTTCTTATGTTTATATTTATAAAATTTGCATACAGTGATGAAAATATTTCCCATTAGAAAGGGAAAGCTATTACTAGGATGAATACTTTTCCTTAGCTGTATATGTGGCAGTTTCCACAGACTTACAGAATGAAAAAAACAGTAATGCAATATCTATCTTTATATTTTTTTGTTTAATGTGGTTCAACTCCAGATGGGGTTGGGAAATGCCTTAGTACTGAGAGCCTCCTGAGCTGGAGACATTCTTATGAAAACAGCCTTATTATTTACTTTTTTTTTTTAAAGCTAACTGAGGCACACAGATTTGAGCCAAGGTCATTAGGCACTAGAATAATAAGAGAAAAGGTTTTATTTTTTTTGCAATAAAATAGTTTTAAATGCAGTTTTGGGGCCTGATCTTTAAAAGACTTATGAATATGGTTAAGCATGCATGACTAGTCCCACTAGAATCAACGGACTATCCACGTAAGTGAAGTTACTCACTTATAAAGTCTTTTCAGGATCAGGCCGTGTGCCTGTTCCTTTGATATTTAATTTTATTTTTCATACTGAAAGTCTAACTGAAAGTTTTACACATCTTGTTGGGGGGAATGGAATTGTGTTGCACCTGTAAAAAGAAACTACATTTTTTATGGCGCTCAGAAGGACTGAATGAATAGTACATGACATGATGCTCCATTTCAGTTGTATAGATTATATATATATTTTTAATCTGTTCTTATTACTTTTGTTTTGCTCTTTTATATATATTTTTTGCTGTATGGCTTTTCACATGTGGTAGCATTGTATAAGGTAAGGTTGTATGCGAATATTGTCCCAAGATAAAGCTGAATGATGAGGTGCTATGTTCAGAAGACAATATTAAATAACGTGGTGCAGAACTTCCATTGGCACATTTTATTTCAATGAAAAATCAAATGGTCAGCTTGCTCAGTCTTTGATTTTTTTTACAACCATTGCCGTGAATTTTTACTTTTCATTCACCGTGAATGCTAAAAATGACATGCTTGGTACATAGTAGAGAACTCTGGTGGAGAAACAGGATATAAAATGGGCTTGATGAATATTGCATAGAAAGCACATCCAAGATAATATAGTGACAGAACATTTTTTCCCATAAATTTGCCTGTATAGGAATCATCTACAAGCCTAAGTATTTACTAGGTAAGTAAAGTGAAAACATGCATTCCTCAGGACTGAGAATAAATAGGGTCTTGGAAGGCAGGGCATTCTGAATTTGCCACCTGGCATAACTAATTATATTAGTGTGAATGCCCCCCCCCCTCAAATTTCTTCAGCTTTCTCTTTGTCACATTTTTGTTCAGGCACTTAGGCACTAAAGTGTAGTGAATGGACCCAATTCTTCATTCTCCTATAGTCCCTTTGTGGCTCTGCCAGCACAAAGGAGCCATAAAATATATAGAACTGGCTCATAAAGAATTCCCCTGATGCATGGGGAATCCTCAGATACTACCAGAGTCAGTGTGGTGGCACTGTGTTATTGCCCCTTGGTACCCCCCACTCATAGGAGCTGTTCCTGTTGAAAAGGGAGCATGGCTAGAAGCCTACTGTTCTCTGGCTATTCTGGCATCTGGAACAGCCATAGGTAGCCAGATGCAAGTTAGAGTGGCTCCCAGGAAGCATAAAGGTGGTGTAAAATACCTTTGCCTTGCTCTCTGTTCTGCTTTTCCAAATAGCACTTGGACAGGAATGAAGAATAACTTTCGATTGGCAACAAGACTTTCAGAAAAATTCTGCAAAGTGTGTCCCTTCAAGCTTAAACCTCTTCGGTTATTTTCTAGGATAGTTAAGGTGCTAATATTCTTATAGAGTCAAACTGTGGCATTTCGTCACTGTCCTGCAGTGGGGTGTGTGTAGGGGGAGGGGAGCAGAACTGCACTACCTTTGGGGAAGTTTGAGAATGATTATACCTAAGGAGGTAAAATCTCTCCCAGAGCTGCCCAGGGCAGAAGGATGGCGCACCTTATTCTACTAGCTATGCCCAGCCAGCAATATTGGTGTGTATGGTGATGGTAGGGAGGGCATGGCCCACCCTGCCACTTTAACCAATACATCCTGAGCGGGCATTCATGAAGGGAAAAGGTCTGTTTCCCCTGAGGTTCAATGTGATTATCCCTAGCCCTTGTACAGGGAATGGCAGATGCCTTTTTATCTTTTCTCCACCACTGTGCACCCATGTCAAGGCCAGAGATAATCAGGCATTCAGTATACATTTTTGGGGTAAGGGCATGGATAAACTTGGAAGTACTTGTAATCACTTGTATGATAGAATAATGCTCTATTTACAGCATTTGTAAACACGTTTATGATCTATTTTATGGCATATATATTATCTGTTTTGTGGTAATGATGTGGGTCCAGCTCCTGAGGTAAACCTCCTGATGACTTCATAATAATTTTTACTCCATATTCATTCAAACCCAGTGAAGATCTATTGTAAGGACTTGTAATGGAGAGTGAACTATTGTAATTTTTTGGGCACAGTCATAACCTTTGGAGCGAAGGCAGAGGGTCTTCTCTAAGTGGATTACACCCTTCTGCATAGAAGGGGCAGCCCAGATGCCTCCACAGCAACATCCCTGGTTACTTGGGCCCCTTAGAGAGTGCTCCATGGGTCTGGGCAATCCATGGAGCCAGAGAGGGCAGTGAGTGGACAGTCTGGGGAAGTTCACTGACTCTGCACTTAGCAGGTTGGACAGATAATAGCGGTCCCAGTGTTGGAAATGTCTTACTTCCTTATTCTGTGTTCAATGGCCTCTGGAAAAAAAGGTATTTCTAGCCTATAGTTGTGAGTAGCCTCAGCAGGTAAGTGAAGTCTGTGGAGCTTGGGTTGGACAGTAGCTGTAGATACTAACGTTAGCTGGATTATGTCCTTAAAAAGAGAGACTTGTGTTGGTTTTTATCTTATTCAAACGAACTCATTTATATGTGGATAGAACTGAGTGGAACTGCTCGGCTTTCAGACTTATGTCTCAGCTGTTTGCAAGCCTCTCTCTACTGCAGCACTACTTCATAAGCATATAAAGCCAGACAGTGCCATTGGTTAAACATGCATGTCTCTCACTGTCTTCAACATGGATATATCCAAACCCAGAATATTGCTCAAAATATAATCAGTGGGGGTTTAAATTAGCATAGATGAATCTGGAAAATTGACAAGTTTATGTTTTTGCCCACAAAGTTTTGCAAATTCAGCCTTTCTTATATGCTTTGGGGATGGGCCTTTGAAATGCATGGCCCTTCTGTGCTGGCCTGTTTGCATCACAATATCATGAAGAAAAAAAGTATCTGGTGAACTAGCTGAAAAAGTTGGATTTGGGTTCTGAATGTGGCTGGTTTGGATTTGGTCTGGGAGTGAGGAATTCTGGTTCCTGTTCTCTGCCCCGCTGGTGACTGTTATACATGAAGTAAATAACTCTGTGCATCTCTGTAAAAGGAGAGTAATAATTATGTGAAATGGAAGTTGTGAGGCTTAATTTAGTAATGAACTCTTTGAAAGAGCTATAGAAATGCAAAGTGTTGGTGTCTTATTTCAACCTTATCAAATCATGGGTCTGTTTTTCAGGTGATTATACAAAGTTATACTAACCCACCTATCTTATCCTAAAATGCCTGGACCTTATTGACATCTTTATTGATGAGTATACCATAAATGATATGATTCATAAATCTTAGTTTTGTAATTGGACACTTCAAACTTTCATGAAATGATTTACTACTTACTCTTGAGTATCTGGAATGAGTTAATTGTGGTTGGAAATAGATGGTTTTAAGGAAAGGAAATATTGCCGTCAGTGATTCAGAAAAGTTCTAATGTAGATGTAATGTTCTAATGAGGGAAAAATATCCCAAACAAATGCTTATTCCTTGGTATCCTGTGTGGGTTTTTTTGTTAGCAGAAGTGGAACTGAGATTCTAGCTTATTTGAAATGATTAACAGCACATTCTGTGACTGTTTGAAGACATTCCTTTGTAGGTTTCCATGGTTACATGTGGCAACTGGTACTGTATCTGGTTATGTGCTTGAGTGTAACTTCTCCTCTGCTTATGTAAAAGCCAGGTAGTAAAACTAAGGAGAAGAAACTGAAACACATGTAAGCAGGGCCAGCTCCAGCATTTCTGCCGCCCCAAGCAAAAAAAAAAAAAATTAGCACCCATGATCGGCGGCGGCAGTTCGTCGGCAGGTCC